CAAGATCAAAGCAACTGTATGAAGGGCAATATCAGGGAGTTATGTACTACATGTACTGAAAATGTGGTAACTTTCCACACTGTTCACATCTTTTTTATACGGCCAATATTTTGTATAATTTTAAACAACCTTGATCTATATAATTACATTGAGTACTAATAAAACGCCGTTGCTGCTGTTTAGAGCTAAGAACTATTGTTCTCCACATAACCCTCTCACTCTGTGTGATGCCGATCCGTGCTCGATGCTGTTCAGTGGACAGCAGTCCGACTTATCGCTGACCTTTCTCTAACCGACAGTCTCGGGATCTTTTTGCACTGAGTGGTCGTCGGCTATCTGGACCTCTTCTACCGCTATGTGCTCCTCAGCCTCTCCACCATGATGCTGTCGTGCGATGAGTCTGTCAGACAGATCCGCTTGACTTTGGCCTCCCATTCTAACCGTGTTGAACTTCCTGTATCCAGAACTGGCCGGTTTGGCCGCAACTTTGTCCTTCTACTCACATTAGTCAATTTAAAGATCGCGGTGCCCCGGTACTTAGGCTTTTGCCTACGCGGCAGCATCCATATTACTTAACTTCAACTATCTGATCACAATTTCTCTTGTGCAAAATTTATACTGCCTACTAGCTATCAGTGCCTTGCACCAGAACATACAACATGGAAGAAGTGGGAGCTGCATGTTAATTGATGCCTGGAGGAACTATCGAGGAATGCCGAGAATCCGCCTGGAATAAGGAATGCCAGGAATGAACCGGGGATTTCGTTTTTTCAGAATCTAAAATCTGCGGAAAATAATATTTCCGATATTGAAGGATTATTTAATGAACGTATACTCATAAGACATCCCCAATATGGGCAATATCTCTTCCAGCAGTTTTGCTGAGAACAAGTCTCAGAATAATAAAATCTGATACTAATTATGTGGAACAAAATACATTTATTTTCAAAAAATAATCACATGATGTAAATAAATTTTTTTAATGGTTAAAAATTGTATTACATGAAAATCTAGGTAGATTAATTCATAATTCAGATTGTTTTGTGATGCAAAACACAGTTGTCTCACTATATTGAATTGCTTCTTGATAACTATGAAACAATACAGATAAGTAAGCTAGTGGCTTTTAATCAGTTTGCTAAGTTCTATGCCTTTAATTGTTGTCCTAGATGGGCAGAGTTTTGCTTTATAAAACTCAGGGCTTTATTATTTATTACCATGTGTTATTTAATACAAAAAAGCTTTCGCCCTTTATATAACGGTACCAACTACAAGGATTATAAGGAGGTTGATTCCAAAGATAACTATTTCATGATATTTTAAATAATCTATCAACTACATCACGCCCATATGTAAAGTTCGCAGCCTACCTGTAGCACTTTATGACAGAGTCTCCTGAACTTCTTCATCTCCGATAATAATCACAATACATCTCACGTTTACTATCACAGCTACTGACAGTATGCTTTACGAGAGATGTCTTTTAAGTTTTGCATATGGAAATAAAACAACACGGTAGGCAGTTTTAAATGACTTTATTGTTTTTCGAAGTATTCTCCACGAAGATTAATACACATCTGCATGCACTCGAACCAATTTTCGAAGCACTTATTCCACTCGTATGCTGGCAGAACTAAAACGCAGTCTGTTTTTGATTTTCGGGAAAGTAAAGAGATCGCCTTGTTTTTTGGGCTGTGTGCGAGCTTGCATTGTCTTGGTGGAGGATGATTCTTCTTTCGGGGTTGATTTTTCGAAGCTCGGTGATGACTTTTGGTAAACAAATGGTGGTATACCAATCCGCAGTAACAGTTCTTTGCTCATTAACAGGAATTGTTGCAATATGACCCGCTTTTGACACAAATGTCGCGACCATCTTTTTCGAACCACTTCGAGAGCGGATGACTTTTGTTGGCTTTTCTTCACCTTGGATCACCCAAACAGCTGACTGTCGTTTATTTTCTGGTTCATAACAGATCAGAACAGTAGATCCACGATTCGTCACCACTAAAAATGCTGTACTTATTTTTTGAGTTTCCGGAATTGGCTGCTTTCTGCTTTTCAGTCAACAGGTGGGGTATCCAACGAGAAACTAATTTTCTTACTCCTAATTCTTCATGTAAACTTTTTTTTGAATTGAGGTCTTTGAGATCTTCAGGGACGCCTCAATCTCGCGATATGTCACACGTCTATCTTCAATGATGAGTTTGCGCACAGCATCGACGTTTTCCTGGGTGACTGCCGTTTTTGGTGCACCCACCCTGGGATCGTCGCTAAGACTCACATGTCCACGTTTGAATTCACCATACCAACGGGAAATTGTCGACTGATGTGGCGCTTCGTTGCCGAAAACAGACAGTAACTCAGCAAGGCATTCTTGTGGCGATAATTTGTCTGTGAAGGTTGTAATAAATTATGGCGCGAAAATGTTCTTGGTTGAGTTCCATTTTTCTAATGACTTGGTGACACTTAAAAATTTATTGTAGTGACAACACTGCACATACTGTTGTGGAACTTTGAATTTAAGTTTACTAAAGAGTGAGGTTAAGATTAAGTACTGACGTTCGATCCGCGCGGCCTACTATGTTTCTATATGCAAAACTTAAAAGACATCCCTCGTATATTTTATCCTCCTTTTTAACAAAACATCTTGGAAAGCATAGGCGTTGAGAATCTGGATGTTAACCAAAACACACGCCATGTTTGATATTTTTTATTTGTACATTTCGATAAAGATAGAGAATCCCGATTAGCAACACGTGACTCTATGCCGGTAATGCAGTTGCCTTGATTTTGTCTGGAAATAATGACCTTGGCGATGCCAGTTTCATCCCCTGGCTTGCACTAGCTGTTCCTTTTGCCTAATTTGAGATGGTACTCACGTTGCTGACACTACGAACTACTTCCTGCTTATAGACCACATACACCTCTCACAAGTTGGAACCACTGATCAAATAGCACTGAGCCTGTACGCCAGGGATGCGACAATAAGTGAAAAAATCGATCAATGAAAAATTGTTTTTTCTTTTTCAATGTTAATTGAATTGTGAAAAATAATAATAAACTTCTTTTATTGAAGGTGAAGTTTAGCTTGAAGCTATTCTGCCACTTAGGCCCGTATCGCCAGTCGTCCCTACAATTGTAGGGCGCGTTTATGGCCTTCTTGATTGTCATACTCCTTTCTCTCCTTCAAAAATTTCTAGATTACACTTGTCCCGTGTCAGCGTTAGCGCTCTCCTATTATAAAGATTTGTTCTCCTTTTAAATTGTAGGACATTTCAGGCTGATAAAACATGATATAACTCAAAACCAAGCACAATTTGATGCAAATTGATGTTTGTGACATAACCTCAAAATAGAGCGCTTACACGGAGAAGTAGAAAAATATGACAATCAAGGAGGCCATAAAGGCGCCCTACAATTGTAGGCACGACTGACGATACGGGCCTTAATCCTTTAAAATGAAGAAAAGGGTCGATTGTAGAAGAACAAAACAATCGATCTTTCTGGATAATCGATTTTTTCTCTTAGTCGACAAACTGTATACTATTCTATACAATGTCATAGACAATTTCACCGGTCGATTCCCATGTGTGAAGTATCCCATATTAAAAAGCTGAAATTTTATATGCTTACTATAGACGAGTATTTAGTTTACATAATAGTCCACTAGCTTAGTCATCAGACGCTACGAAAATAGTACCTATCAAAAAGCATCAACCAGTCTCAACTGCGCTTTTTTATTACAGAGTTCTTATGGTAACTTTCAAGCTCCATCACCAGATGTATCATAATAATATTGGATTGTTATAATAGACGTCGACCTCATTATGAATTGCCATATTGCGGAGGCCGCCACATTGCATTTCGTTTTGCTTGTTGTTTCTCACATCAAGACTTTATCATTTGGTATTGATATAGCAGGGGTTTCTTTGGAAATGATAAATCGTAATTTTCTAGCAATTGCAATATTGGAGTCAAAATGGTGGGATTAAATTTATTGGGTATTGTCATGACAACTAAACTGTAACGAGATCAAGTTAAAAAAGTTTAGAAACTGTCTGGCCGCTAAATGAAACCAAAAAGTGTTAGAGTGACATTTTACTGTAAAAAGTCACTCAAGTGTACCAATATGTAGCTTTATTTAACGGCCAGAAAACCATAGAGTCTTATCCGCATAAAACCACAGGATAAGTTTTAAGTTTAACGTCAATTAAAAACTTGCAAAAATGAAACCTGTTTCATTCCCATGTATCAGATCTCCCATCATTTTTGCTTTTATGAATAATGCAGAAATATCTTAAAAATTTAAAAAATACCAATGTGTCACTATCTATAAACCGTTTTGGGATGATCGCGTGTCAAGTACTTCTGTGTTCTTCTGGAAACCGCCACCTAAGACAGCGACTGCTAACACTCCGGCAGTTTCCCAGCTCATTTTTGGCCCAATTTTGTAGTAAACTGTTAATTAAGGAAGCTTCAACTCAAAACAGCTTACAAGCTACGGGCGCTGTAATTAAATTGTAACGATGTCTCCCTACTCTTCTTTATCTAGTTAATTAACCAATTTATCTAAGATGGCCGCCAGTTTCCGCTCCTAGCTTGAATGTTGATAACGGCCAGTGAATACAGAAAGGTATTTTAAAGATCTTCAGGGATAATATTTGCCTTCAAGCTGAGGCTAACTTACACACCAGAACGTTTAAGAAGTGGAGGCTTTATACCCTTAAAAGGTGCATGACTTCGTTAGACCATGATAACTTGATTAACGACAGTAATTGACATCTTCAGAATACATCTCTACTTAAACGACTACTAGCTTTGATTTCACTACGTTTATGCATATTGTAAGAAACGAAAAAGTTTTTGCGAGCCGCTGCCGGTCACGAAGGGTACTGCTGTGTAGTTGCTGCTCTGTGGTAGCTGAGGAAACGACTCTGTCAGAGCGAGCTGTAACCTCGAGCAGTGCACATCGGCTCGGATAATCTGCCGCTCCGAAATTACGTTAAAACGTTGTGCTATTATTATTGTTGTTAATACAAGTTGAAATGAGTGTTTGACTATCCGTGTTTCTAACATCAGAAGCGGGATTGTGCCCAGACGACCACAGTGGATTGTGATTTCTTTTGAAAACATTGACGTTTTCTTTGTCTTGTGAGAACAGAGGATAACGGTACATCGTTGTGATTGCTGCGTCATAGTTTAAAAAAAAGGCTGTGTTGCGTTGTGCGTTTGGATCAAGTCTTGGTGTTCCTGATAAGGAAACTCAATTTAACGATGGTCTCAGCAGACGAAGACCCCACCCAGTCACTGGTAGCAGAATTGTTAAAGGCTTTGCAGTCCCAAAGGTTGGCAGAACAGGTAGATTTGCCCTATTTCAGACCCGAAATCAACGAATCCAGTAAATGGGTAAGTCAAATTGAAGTCATTAAGCGTGAAGTTGCATGGTCTGACGTTGAAACTCTGGCAAGGATTGGCCGATCTTTATTGAGTGGTGCAAAGAGATGGTTCGAACGTTGGAACCCAGACAACAAGGATTGGGCTACTTTTCGAGTTGACTTTGCTGAGGCGTTTTCTTCTAAAAGAAATTTGGGTCGTTTGTTGGAGGAGGCAGCAAAATTTAACAGTTCTTTTGACAACACGTATGAAAGTTATGTGCATAAGAAATCATATATGCTTAAACATTTACATGCAAACTGGTGCGAAAGTGATTTGGTCGAACTCATTGTTTACGGAATCTCTGAACTAGAGGTGCGCAATGCTGCGATGAATGCTAACTGCAAAACTATTTCTGAATTATTGGTTTTCTTGTCACCTCCGTGCAATGACAGACAAAATATAGCCGAAAGTGATTCTTTTTCTCTCAAAAGGAAATATGCATCTGTTGACAAGCAAAAAGGTGGTTTTGTTAAAATCTCTAAGAAGTGCTTCCAGTGCGGAAAATCTGGATACGTTAAAGGAAATTGTGTGAAGAAAACTAAACGACAGATACAATTCCATAGGTCAGCGTGACCTACCAAGCACATCTCATAGTTCTGAAATTTGTAGTTTTTATGCTAAGAAAGGTCACAGCGTATCGAATTGCTTTACCAAAGCTGCTATTGATAAACGTCGCAACATAAACTTTTGTTCTAGTGGAAAACCAGTTGGGTCCACCGAAATATTAATTGATGGTTATCATGTTTCCTGTTTAGTTGATACTGGAGTTGATTTATCATTGATATCTGATAAGTACTTCTACTTATTTGATAATAAGGTTGTTAGCTGCAATGTTATTTTGAAAGGACTAGCTAACGTTACAATTAAGGCTACAAAGAAGTTTACGGCTTGTGCGAAAATTTCTGGTGTTGATATTCCGATGTGTTTTATTTTTGTTTCTGGCGAGTGTCTCGATTATGATGTTTTGGTGGGGCGTAATATTTTTGAAGATGAAAGTTTCGCCACTATAACAGATCATCAACGATCACGCGTTGTGCGACGTCAGCTGCCTGGCATAAATCGCGTTTCAGAAGATTTTGGTGTTTTAGTCACAGAAGTTGAAGTACCTGAAGAACATCGCGTAGGTCTTGAAGTTATACTGCAACATTTTAGTGGCATTATTACAACAGGCAATAAAGTTGCTCTATCACAAGCAAGTAAATGCAGATGGTACGACAAATTTGCAATGGTTCGTTCCTCGGCAAAGTCGTTCAGGCCTACTGCGTATTTGCCATGATGAGCAGTGTCAAGTGGGATCCGAAAAGACATACCTGTACGAGTCTATTCAACATTTTTGGTTTCCGAGGTTGAGAAACTCCATCAAATGCTACGTCAAGTACTGAGTAATTTATGCAGTAAAAAAGACAAGAACAGGTCCTCTACAGGGGTTCATACGACCAGTGGACATACCGAAGGAGCCATTTCATACGTTGCACATGGACTGTTTGGGTCCTTTACTAGCTTCAACTGATGGTTATAAGCACGATTTGGTAGTGGTGGATGCTTTTAACAAGTACTGCATTTTGACGCCTATGAAGTCTGTGACAACTGCAGAGGCGCGTGAAAAGCTGCATAATGTTCTAGCGCTGTTTGGAACTCCCAAACGAATAATAATGGACGCTTCCACGTCATTTAAGAACACCACGTTTCCAAAGTACCTGGATCGATGGGGCATCGAACACCATTTTGTAACTCCAGATGTGCATAGGGGAAATGAGCAAGTGGAACGCTATATGCAAACCATTAGAAATCTTATGAGAGTTGAAACCCAAATATGGACAGAATGGCCGAACGGTCTATGGAAGATCCAACTTGTTCTCAACTCGACTATGCAAAAATCCATAAATGCAACTCCTTTGCAGCTGCTTTTGGGTATCCGAAGCTCGAATCCGATGATACAGGCTGTGTTGAAAGATTTGGATCGACAGCGATTAGCGAAAACGCTATTCGTCGCACAAAATTACAACACAGTGAACAAAAAAAAAAGAAGGGACAAAGTGCAATTTTCAGTCGGTAGTTTTGTATTGATGCACCGGGACTCTCAGATGCACATAAGCAAGAGCGACTATGAGTTTCTTGGTCCTGATGAAGAGGTTAAGTGCTTGGAAAAAGGACGTTATGAGATTAAGGAGGTCGGAACAACCATCATAACAAAGGCAGCTAAGGAGCAGCTAAGATCATGGCCTGTAAAGTGGTCCTCCAATGTTGATATGGGAGATATACTTGAGTTTCTGGAGGCTGAGAAAGAACCACGTCAGTAAATATCTGGTTAAATTCTGCGATGTGCTGTCTTGGTTAATGTTGGTCTCTATCTCGTCAGAAGTTGAGCCAAATGGAGGCAGAGATCTCCATGGAAACTGCAACCTGGTCTCTGTCTCGTCAGTAGTAGAGCCAGCTGAAGGCTGCGGTCTTCAGGGGTGTTGTAACATAGTCTCTGTCTCGTCAGCAGCAGAGCCAGCTGCAGGCTGAGGTCTTCAGGGATACTGTTACTGTGGTCTCTGTCTCATCAGCAGCAGAGCCAGCTGAAAGCTGAGGTCTTCAGGGATACTGTTATTTTGGTCTCTGTCTCGTCAGCACCAGAGCCAGCTGAAGGCTGAGGTCTTCAGGGATACTGTTATTTTGTTCTCTGTCTCGTCAGCAGCAGAGCCAGCTGAAGGCTGAGGTCTTCAGGGATACTGTTATTTTGGTCTCTGTCTCGTCAGCAGTAGAGGCAGCTGAAGGCTGAGGTCTTCAGGGATACTGTTATTTTGGTCTCTGTCTCGTCAGCAGCAGAGCCAGCTGCAGGCTGAGGTCTTCAAGGATACTGTTACTATGGTCTCTGTCTCGTCAGCAGCAGAGCCAGCTGAAGGCTGAGGTCTTCAGGGATACGGTTATTTTGGTCTCTGTCTCGTCAGCAGCAGAGCCAGCTGAAGGCTGAGGTCTGCAGGGGTGTTGTAACATGGTCTCTGTCTCGTCAGCGGCAGAGCCAGCTGCAGGCTGAGGTCTTCAGGGATACTGTTATTTTGGTCTCTGTCTCGTCAGCAGCAGAGCCAGCTGAAGGCTGAGGTCTTCAGGGATACTGTTATTTTGGTCTTTGTCTCGTCAGCAGCAGAGCCAGCTGAAGGCTGAGGTCTTCAGGGATACTGTTATTTTGGTCTCTGTCTCGTCAGCAGCAGAGACAGCTGAAAGCTGAGGTCGTATGCTTTTGATTCACAGATTCGGCCTGTAGTGCAGACGGCGTCGAGAACGTCGCAGCCGTCAGAAAGGCCGTGTAAGAGACGAAAAATTTTGGCGAGCCGCTGCCGGTCACGAAGGGGTACTGCTGTGTCGTTGCTGCTCTGTGGTAGCTGTGGGAATGACGATCGGCCGCCGACTCTGGCAGAGCGAGCTGTAACGTCGAGCAGTGCACATCATGCTCGGATAATCTGCCGCTCCGAAATTACGTTAAATCGTTGTGCTATTATTATTGTTGTTAATACAAGTTGAAATTAGTGTTTGACTATCCGTGTTTCTAACAATATAGTTGCAGTCATCGTTCTTGGCGGTTACGTCATCAACGCCATATGAAAAAAGTAAACAGATAGAGTCACTATCATGGGCGGAACGCTGCGCAGACAAATCTTCAGCGCATCTGCTACTCTCTCCAGTACGCATGAATTGAGTAACATGGCAACACTGTTTTGATTCTCTTCCTGGAAACACTCTAATAAATTTAACACGAGCTGTTGGCTTTCTCCATTGATCGTATTTCCGGGCATTGTACAATTTTATATTGAAGATTTGTAACAGGACAACTAGAATTGCATGACAAGGTCAATTAAGTTGTCACTCTGACAAATATGACTGAAGGGCACTCATACGTGACGAAAAAGTTTTCGAGACGGAAACACACAACTAAAAACCGTATGTCTTTGAGCTTACCGAACAAACGTTTACACACAGGGGGTAGGTTACATGTGTATGTACGAGGGTGATAGAGATATATAAAGGGATACTGGTAGTCTTACTTTGAACTGCCAAGAACGGTGACTACAACTATATACCGACGTGACTTTGTCTGATTAGGGAGGCTTAGCCTTTTTTCATGAGATAAAATCTCGCGAAGCTAGGACCATGCGACAGTAAATGATACGTTCGAGAATTTTTCACTGATCAACAAAATGGCAAACGACGAACTAGAAGTTTGCTCGGAAACATTTATTCTTTTCTTCGTTATTGACCACTTTTTTTCAACACCCGTTTTGAATTAAAATGAATTTACAAAATCACACAGTGACAAACCATGACAAGAATCACAAAATTCCAGTGTCTCATGAGAGACTATGTCGCTTGCGAGCAGTCTTAAAATCATTTTCTCTCGCTAAGCCACTTTGGGTGTATTCAAAATACAAAAGTTCAAGATTACTCCTTTTTCAACAATTCCTACATTCGCTAAATTGATACCGATTGTCTTTCCTAAACTATTCCATCAATGTTTGTGCCAACTCAATTAAAATAAAGCTTAGCTAACGGTGGAACTAGAAGCATCCTTGGTCAATGTTTTGCAAATTTCTGAAAATGCTATCATCCTAGGTATCTAAATAGAAAATTTTGCTGGCGTTTAACCAACCTCATCTATTTTATCATTACCGAGATATAAATTGTGAGAGCAGAGTTTAAAATACCAGGCGGCAATGCTAGTTATACTGATCTCAAATTCAGTGTTACACCATCTTCCCGGAGGTTTATCACAAGTTCCTAAGCATTCACTAGTATAGCGTTCATAATACGCCCTCACGTACAGTCTTTTTATTGCTACTTACATGTAGACGTACGCACACAAAAACAATATTTCCTTTCAATTTCCCTCTAACCTCGATTTAAAGATGAGGTAATTCAGAATCTACCCTCGAGCACGTTTTATCATCTTCAGACGTAATATCCGATGGGGGAAGCGTTACAAAGCGAGACGAAAAAACCGTTTCTTTCAGCTTTACATTCTGCAGGAGTATCTGCTACCGTTTTCTGATATTCTACTAACAGTAGGAGTACTGGAGAATGATACTCGTATAGAATTGGGAAGTGTTTGACAATCCCAAAAGCAGGGGTATTTTATTTTTCTGCTCCAGTGTTTTTCAAGATTATCCCGATACCAACAAGATCATATAGATTTGTTGTAGCGCCACTTGAGAAGATATAACAGGAAAATCATAAAATCTGCAGTATGTACTGGTAATTATTTTTATTTTAATGGCACTAGGACTATGTCCAAATTAACCAGACCCTTTTTATACAATGGGCTACAGCACGGTTCGCAAAACAAACTTTGCGGTGGCTGACAAAAATCACTTCTCTAACTAATAGTAAGGATAGGATTAGACAGGGATACACCCTTCCCGACTAATGGCTATTAAGGCATTTTGAGAATATGACACACAACAACTAGGCCGCGGTTAGGTAGGTAAATTACAGATGATAGTTACACAGAGGATGTACTGATAACACTGGTGAACAAAATATTAAAATAATTTTTTGTGACATGGTCAAAACAAGGTGGTTACTATGTTGAACGTACCCAAAAAGCCGGAAATAACATTCGATTTTTTCTATCACCCACGGTTTTCTTGCAATAAGGCATTTTATTTGCTGCTTATACTCGTAAAAAATATGGATATGTCTGTAAGGCTACTAATAAACACTCGAATAAACATTAATCTCAGAATGTTGTGGTCGATGTTTTACGGCAATATGTTGCTCCTGAACTATGTCTTAACAATGTCCAGCAATAATCAGCAAGCAAGTTGACACTCCATTTGCCTTGATACCGTTTTTCCATAGCAGAAATGTCTTGGTGCAACCGTTCACCATGTTCATCACTTACAGCACCAACATTTTGAGATGAGGATCCAAAAAGTGAATTTTTAGAGACATGTTACATCCCATTCCTTTATAAGCATTAATTAGTTCACTCACAATATCTTTATAATTGTCCGCTTTCACATTGCCTAAAAAATTTTCAGTAACTGATTCAAAAGCATTCCAAGCTCTTAATTCAGTTTCATTCACAGCACTGTCAAATGCATCATCCTTCATAATTTTTCGTATTTGTGGACCTACTTAGTCTCGGAAAATGTTTGTTTTAAATGCAGAAACCCTCTTGTCCCATTCACAAAGAAAGCAACAATATTTGGTATATCCCAGTTGCATTCCAAGAAGAAGGGCTATTACCTTTAAATCTGCGTGCGGTATAGGTACAGATGGATATTTATTACCCTTGTGTACCAATACTGCTTTTAAACTAAGCTTAGAGGAATCAATGAACAGGCGCCAATCATTTGGATCATGTTTCTGTCCTAACGCGTCAAAAAAATTGTTGACATCGGAGCAATATATCAACTCCGTTTCTTGACGGAAACAGTGTGTGAGGTCTTGTTGCCGTTTTCGGTAAAAAGTAATGTTAACATCACCGTGGAGAAAATTCCATCTTTTTAATCCTGACGCTAAAAGTTCTGACTGGGATTTTGACACATTTAGTTCTCGAACTATGTGATCAAATGCGGCGCTGTTGATCATCCTGCCAGGTCAAACGAACCATCACTTTCAGAATCTGTGGATTCGACTCTTTTATCCAAAGACCAAGATTCTGTTGGAACTGGGACAGTAAAGTTCATCACTTTGCTTAACGGGTCTCAAAGCTGATGGCAGATTAAAATACTTAACAGTAGGTTTCGATTTTGGTCCAATACTCTTAATACTTGTGAGGCAAAAATAGCGATCAGTAGTATGGTATTTCGGTTCTCTCCAAACCATTGATACCGCAAAGGGCATTTTACGATTGTCACATCTTAACCAACCTGTTAACAACGTTACACAGGTCGTACAACATATATGAGAGGCTCATAGTTTACCTTGGTCGCCAACTTTAATTCCAAAAAAAAGTTCGTACGCCTTCAACACAAGGGAAGTAAAAGAACGTTTTTGGAATTTAAATAAACTAAAAACAACACAGAAAACGTAACTGACTCGGCTGCTATCAATCTACTAATAAACGCAGTATGCTCTGTAAACATAGAGCTCGCATATAATAAACAGGAATAGACAGGTCTTAACATTATATATGTGCGCCATCGCATAAACGCCGAGAATTGCAGCAATATGGGATGTTACGTATTGTAATTCATAAAAGTAGATGTTGCCGAATATCTGTGGGTGTTAGAAAAATTCTGTTTTTATATTTGATTCAAGGGCTTAAAATATATACCAAAACCAAAAAATTGTCATGTCACAAATCGTGTATTTATCAGTGCAATATAATGTTTACAGCATCTTTCTTCAAGAATATGTAAGCTTATACCATCAGTATATAGTTTCAGGGTATGGATACCCTATTCGTCATGCTTTATCAAAGTAATAAAGAATAGGGCAGAAAAACCGAAATCCTCGAAACTTTTTAGTGGTATGCGTTTAAAATATATTAATTTTGAGCGCTCTTTGATATTTAGTTGTTTTTCGTTTTTCTGAAAATAGCGTTTAGTTGTGTATGCTGTCATTGCAGTCAAGGGATGAAGAAAATATATTCTCCTACTTATGAACAAGTGATTTAACAGTTTGTGTTTAGAAAATTAAACAAAACAGTGTAAAAACCCTGACTTCAACTAGGTTTATCAGGACATGAGGAAAAACAATCCGGAGCATATTTAACTTGATACGGGTCAGAATCTGCGAGTTCTATCCTTTCTTACTACCTACGACCCTGCAAGGAATTGTAATAGCATAAAACTTTGAAAACGAGTATTAGATTTTTTGGATCTACAATACAATTCTTTATTGGTGTTATTGTACGTACAGTACTTACACATCACTTAGTAAAAAAAAGATACAGCAAAATAATAAAAATAATTTAAAAAGCAATAACAGATAAAACATTAAAATTTTTAATCCAAGAGCCCTTGGTATGAATAAAAAAGTTTACAGCAAGAAAACTCTCTGTTGTATGTTTAAAGGAATTTTAATTTTAGAATATGTTTTGCAGTGGTAATTTTTGTAGAATTTGGGTGCTGTAATTTTTAAACTTTTCTATATTTTTGATATTCTTACAGAAGGAATATTTAAGTTCCCAGCACTCCTTATATCATAGTCAGTAGGTATATTCACGGCAATTTAAGTATTGCTTAGCATACAACAGTGCTTCATAAATATATATTGAAGACAATGTTTGTTTGTAACCGTCAGTATACTTCAGTGAATACAATATCCTAATTTTCCGCCTCTGTAAAGAGAATAGTCGATACGAGTCTGCACCCTGACCCCAAATTTAGATACCATATAATATCAAAGAGTGGCATAGAGCAGTATAAACTGACTTTATTGTATCACTATTGAACTCATAAGTAAATAAATGTTTTTTCTGAGATTTTTAGCTATTCCATCAATGTGCATGTCCCATTTCAGTTTCTTGTCTATTTGTATACCCAGAAATTTTGTATGTTCAGCATATTGTGATTCTACATGTTTCATTGAAAATATCATATTAATTGTCTTGTTTTCATTCAGGGTCAGCTTATTTGCATCATGCTATATGACATTCAGGTTACGAAAAACCATGTCACTTATTTCCGTCTGCTTGATGGCCTGCTAATTCTTGGTTCCTGCATAAATATCCTTGTTCTCGAAGCCAGTGTTTAAACACAGATTAGCGTACTTTGTTCTCTATAAAATTTGTAAAAACTGACTATTGAATAAAGATTTGTTTCAAAAAAAAATGTGGAAGTATCGCTTGGACTTCGAGGTAATTTTGACCCAAGAATACTACTATGCTCAGGACAAAAAAACCTTATAGGTTTTAAAAGTTGGTCCCGTGTTGTCGGAGAAAAAAACCGTAAACTAAAAAAAGTCGCCTAACATTTTCAGGGGTTAAAAATTGGACGTTGGGAGTTTTAGGGGGTGGGGGAGTATACCTATGTTATTTTCTTGATGCTAGTAATGTATGTTTCCAGCCTCGGTAATTCTACGCTCCTAGTAGACCTTTTTCATAAAACATAGATTTGCTTGTAAATGTATTCTTAACTTTTGAACGATATGTTTCCGATGTATGCGTACCGGACCATTCAACGAGAATACGTCTGTCCGCTACGAATGTTGATAGATACCTGAATGATGATGAATGTTTTTGGGCACACAACCCCGTGCTGCGTTGCTATGTTGCTGGGTAGTTTATACTGTCAGTCGCGCGGTAGGCTAGGTCGCAACGTTGTCAAATATGTAAGGGCTATGGAATTGTATTTACTGAGCAACATGATCCATTTAATTTCTTTATTCATTCATGTTTTTGATACATGATCGTGTCAACTTTTTTCTAAGAGGGACTAAATTATGGAAAATTTAGTTCTTTGAATGGAGAACAGAGTGTCCTAGGAAGTTCAGGGTCAATTTACTTGATGCAGTCCCAATAAATAAAAATAAAGCCATCTAGGAACATTAATTTTACACCTTTCGGGTTACTTCTGTGAGTTTCATATTCGGTTCATTGTTATACCTATATATTCTGAAACCGCTTATCAACTCGCAAACGGATTTTTATTCGTCCTAATTCCCACAAAGGAACCAGTGGCGTGCTTAGTTAAAATTCGGAACACACTCGGCTAAAGTCCCGCCTCTGAGATAATTCTGTTAAGTACAACCAATACAGAATTAGACTCCTTTCCGAACTAATAAAAAATATTTATTTGCTTGCCCTTGGCGTGGATAATTAGATCAATGAATCAAACTGCCATACTGTACGAAATCTAATGTAAAAGACGGTGCTCGACCCTACCAGCACATGAATAAGGGATTATAAATTAGAATCTCGAACAGTTTCCAACTTGGGTGATATATTAGCAGCTCCAAATACCTACAATCCAATTTTCAGAGATTACTCCAATCTTAGCCTATTTTACGCTAAATTTATTCCACATTTAGGTTAATTGGTCGTAGAACTATTTTCTGGCGTTTGAGGTATTTTCATTTGAGTGGAATCTGCGTGAATAAATCCTCCGATATAATGTGAGCAATTGAAGCTGTTCACTGGTTTCTGTGAGTAATTTGTTAGTCAAATATACTTACGTGGTTTATAGAAGTAACAAGTTTTGTAAGCGATACTGCAATATGATATAAAGCTGATGGTTGATCAACACCTGAAAGCTGTAATAGGAAATATTCAGTAGCTTAACACATGACAATTAGGTATTAATTATTCTATATTTCAAGAATTCTTTAAAATTATTTGTTTATGAAGTTTGTTATCAATCATCTTGGGTACCTGAAGCCCAACTTGCAAACGTGAATATCTAAGGCGCCCGTAGTAAAAATGTACAAAATATACAAGGTGCGAGATATGTGATCATTCTATAAGATACATATGCATAATAGATTTCATCTATTCGTCATTGTCTGTCAGAGCGGTCCGTAGGACCTTTGCTCTTGGTTAAAGCCTTGTAAGACAGTAGGTCTGTCTGGTATGGTTGCCCAGATACCAGGCAAAGTTGGGGAGAAAGAAGGGAAGAAGAAAGAAAGGAAAGAAGGATGGAGAGCAAAGAAGAAAGAAGTGAGACGATTTGAGGGACGATTTGGCATTGCTAACTAGTATTCGGCAATTTTAAATTGATCCTAAGGTTAATTTAGAGATTTTTGAATAAACATTATAATTTGGGCTGGACCTAAAGTCGTACGATTTAAGTTTGTTCACAGTGCATGCCGCGGTATTGTGTGTTTGCGAGCTTACTCGACTGTGTAGTCTACTGGCTCACGCAATAAAGGGTTGCTATGCGATTCCGCTTGACTATAACGTACCTGTGCTTGCTGTTTAGGTATGGGATGTCGAGGTCTATGTGAAGTGTCTCATTGGAGACATAGCATGAGGCGTTAGTGATGGTACGCAAGGTTCTCTTCGGCAAAACCTGCAGACTACGCAAATGTGCTTTGGCGAGAAAGCACCAAGCCGCACTTGCGGAAGTGATCGCTGGTCCAATAACAGTCTTGTATAGCCGAACTTTGTTCATCAAACTCAATTTTAAGGTTCTACATAGCATAGGGTAGAGTTTTGGAGTTTAGTTTTTAACGCTTCAGTGTGCTTCTGCCAGGTCATCCCTTTGCCAAGAGTGACACCGAGATACTTAGCAGAACTCTTCCATGGCTTTTCAGTACAATAGATAGCCTGCGTTTTCGAATTAATTTTGATCAGCCACCGATTCCAATTCCTCGTCCACTGCACTTTGCAACATGTCGTGAAGTGGATTCCCAGAACACTACTGCGCCACCACGGCAGTGTCAGCAGCATAGAGATAGATTTCACAGTTGCTAGGGCAAGGGACGTCATGAATAAAAAGTCAAAAGTGAAGGACTTGTCCAAGAACCGAACCCTGAGGAACACCGACTTTGATGGACCGTGTTGTCGACAGAATGTTATTAATTTTGATCCGACATTTCCTACCCTAAAGGATGGATTTCAACAGTTTCAGGAGCCAGAAGGGGAAGCTCTTATGGATCAATTTGTAGAGCGGGCCTTTGTACCACACCTTGTCAAATGTCTTTGAGACATCCAGAAGTAAGACGCCAGTACTTTCGTGACGACTGAGTCCCCTGGTTACTTGTTCAACATACCTTACCGCCTGTAGCTCCGTACTATGCTCAGACATAATAGAAGTTTTTATGAATGGAAATAAAAGTCCTTGAGAACACTGGACTATTTTTTTTACTAAGCCATAAACAGTGCCATCCCACCACGGTCACTTATGGAGCTCTTGTTTTCTTGTTCCATCCAAAGTTCGCAAACAGTGGCGTGATTTATTAAGGATAAATGGTTCTAATCTTTCGTCCAGATGTTTTGAGGTTATTATCTCTATCATCTTATACTTCATTAATCCCATTCATTTTTCTACATTAAATGTCAAGTTAAATTTTCACTAGCAAACATAGTCGAGAAATGCATCCCCACCCCTTTTTTTCCTTGACATTGTTTGGTTTCTGGGCAACCAGGATTGACAGATTCGACTAACGTACATTAGACAGTCACTAATGGGCAAAGGTCATACGGAGCGCCCAGACAAACAAATGACGAATAGTCAAGTGTATAACGGATGATATGTATTCCTGTTTTTCTGTCTTCTCTTAAAGTTTTTTGTATTGAAAATATCTGTGAAGATGGCAACTTACCTGTAATTCTGACATTCGCTGGACTACTGACAACGATGTTTCTGCTGAGTCGATGCATCGTTCTACAACGATACGTTGGAAACTGATCGCTGAACTCCAAGTTGTGTATCAGCAACTCTCCTGAGGGCAGTTGATGAAATTTTCCATCTGAAAAAGACACAATTTTGCAATGCAATGCAGAAAGTACTAATTCCATATTTCAATGCATCATAGAATATGAGTACGCAAACCGACAAGCTAACAATGACAATATTGAAAATGGGCGTTTTTCTGTTTCTCCTATTAAATAATAATATTATATGCTGCATGGGAATGCTGATAACAGAAAAATAATTCTACGACCAGCAACAGTAACTGAAGCCATTGAATACAAACATTGTCAGATATTCAGGGTGTAATTTAATTGATGGCTAAAAATGCAGGAGGACGAAAATTTTGTATGAACATATGTCCCAAACCTGTTAACTTTTGAGCTACGGGGAGTTAAAATCTTAAGAAAAAACTTTAATACTGTGTAAATATTTCCATGAAATTTGACATGCACCTACTAAGCACCAATATGCATTTTTTGATGTAGAATATTTCTACCAGTGGCGTCCATACGGAAAGTATACTGGAGATTTTTCAAAATATATTTGGTACGCCATTGGTTTTTTGAAAAATAATATTTTTGAAACGCTCATTTCGAAATAAATTTGACCTTGATTTGTTTCCTTTCGATGCATTGTTTTAGCCTAAAAATAGAAGCCAACTAGTAGGCTGACGTCCTATTTTGTGTCTGACATAATCACATTTGATCGATTACATTGCGGTCTTATTTTGACAAGTATTCATAAACGTGACAGTTTTTTACATTGTGAAAGTTTCTTTAATCAATAGTAAAGGGAAAATAAGTAAACTATAGCAAGATTTACAAATTCCGAGTTAGCAGGTGTGCATTTTACCTACGCACTTGCTGACGGGAATGCGCTTATGTCTAGGCGGATATATCAAGAGCGGTAACCAAATCGTATCATCTCCTTTGCCAGAATGTTTTCTAGAATACACGAAAGACTACATGAAACTGGGAGTCTTAGCTTTAACGATAGTTCCAAAGGGGTACATCGCACGGTGATAACACCAGAATTGGAGGAAGCTGTTTTAAGCACAATTGAGGAACATCCAGAAACAAGTACTAGGAAAATCGCGGTAATCCTTAATGTTCCATATTTTATTATTTGGAAAAATACTTGTTGATTATTTATTATAACCCTATCATATTCAAAGGGTTCAAGCACTATTGCTGCTTGATTTTCCATTGCGTTTAAATTTCTGCCGATGGTTTTTAGAAAAACTTGATGCAAATCCTCTATTTGATCGTCACTTTCTTGGAAATGCATTGCCAATTTTGCTCATGGTTAGACCTCGTTTGTTAAGGGAAGAAATGTGGTATTTGCATGATTGTGCTCCTGCAGATTTTAGCTTCATGCTAGGGAATTTCTAAATAAAGCGTTTACAAATCGCTGGATAGGACGCGGGGAACTCAATATTGGCTTCCCGGGTCCCCTGATTCAAATAGTTTAGACTATTTTTGATGGGAGCACTTCAAGCCTTTAGTTTATACTACACCGGTTCAAACTGTAGAGAAATTGAGGCAGAAAATTTTACTTTTCTGTCAAACCATAAGAAATACTCCTGGGATGTTTGAAAGGGTTTGCCAATCCATGAGAAAGAGAATTGAGGCCTATATTCTAGCAGAAGGAGAACATTTTTAACAATTCTTGTGATAAGTAAATTAAATAGTATTATCTTATTTGATCCACAGAAATTATCAAAACTTGTAGCAAACTTGTTTTTTTTTTTAGTTTTCATGCATTGAAAAATCGCTAAAGTCTCATGATATGGTTTGCAGGTAAGAGGTATTTAAAGTCAATTGATTAAAATAGTCAAAATATCAAAATGGTTTTTATTTTTTACTCCAAAACGCTGAATCGGAAGGAAAAATATCAAGAGGCCAAATTTGTTGCAAAATAGATGAGGATTTCAAAAATGAAAATCTCCAGTATACAGACCGTACGGATGTCACTGGTAGAAATATTAAAAAATATTCTTCATCAAAAAATGCTTATTAGTGCTTAGTGGATGCATGTCAAATTTTATGAAGACATCTACGAGCCCCTTCCCACTTCAGTTGGCCCACTTCAAGATTTGTACGAAAATATGCCTTGATAAACTAAACATGACGAAACTATTTACTTCTAAAACAATTTATTTAAGATACCCTCTAGTCGTAAAAAATACATATTTGAAATCACTTAGACCTATAACTAATAGAACATCTGAACAAATAAACAATTTACGAATAAATGCGCGAAGTTAACAAAGCAACAATTGAAAGATTCCCATTGGGTAACATCACCTTTATTTTTTATTACGGCTGAAATGCTTTGGGGCATAGTGTTAACCAAGTTTTGGCAAAAATTTGGTGTAAAACCATACCATATTTCTGGAAGCTTTTGTCTCAGTTCGGTGATTGTACGAGCAGGATGTAGAACCTTTTTCATCTCGTGCTACAAAGTTTCAATAGGTGACAGATTTGGACTGCTAGACACCCATTTCAAAAGTGGTACATTATTTTGGCCGGATGTCAAACATTCTGCCATCACTGGTAAAAGCGATTCTTCTAAAATTGCCAAATATTTGTTTGTATCCACATTTCCATCAATAAAATGAAGTTTTCCTACTCCTTTTGATGACATACTGCCCCAGACCATAGTGGATGTGGGAAATTTCACTTTTCTCTTCAGATAGTCAACATGGAATGCTTCATTTTTTTTCGAATAACTCTACTGCGACTCTCACCAATACAAACTTCGGGCCTCATCACTCCATTGTATTGCACACCATTGTTGAGGTGGCCATTGTCTATGTTCTTTAGACCATCTAAGCCGACTTTTCTTTTGCAGTGGAGTTAATAGTGGCTTTTCTTTGGCCTATAAACAAGTTGTGCAACTTTAGGATTTTTGGATTTTTACTTCACTTTTTTTTATAAGAAAACTTACCTTGCATGTGCTAAATCCCAGTTTGTGAGCCTCTCTATGAGTTGTGGACCTCGAAATTCTCCTTCCAACAGCGTCACTCCACATAGCACTTAATAGTAAATAATTGGCACGCTTGTTTTTCACGATTATTCTTCTTAATGCTCTTCGGTCGGCATTTGTGATATTACTTTTTTTCAGATATCGTGGCTTAATATTAACTGAACCAGTTACGTTATATCTTCTAACAATATTTCTCATATTGTACCGCGATAAGTCTAACAAAGTTGCAATTTCTGAGTTTGATATCCCAGAATTAAAAAAAATAGTTATCAGTAACCGAATTTTCTCACTAATAAACTTTCCTCTACCCATTTTGAAAACCTTAACTACCCAAAACTATTTTAAACGTACCTATTCTGACAGCTGTGATTAATAAAAACAATTGTCATGGCTTTTATTTTTCACAGCCACCATACGAGTGGGTGGTTTTATTCAAGAAAATGAATGAATAATAATGCAATAACTAAATATAAACTTAAACAGGTTGGAAACATCATGAAAAGATACTGTACCGCTCGCAGTAATCTCAGTGTACAAAAAACATACTATTGGAAATTAATTTGGATAATTACATAGAAAATATTGATAGCTCGAATTGTTAAAGGCCTATCGATTTTCTCCTCCTTCTGGAACATTCTCTGGCTTCTGGAAGCAACTCCTTAAAACTTGTATTCGATCAAAGTGCATTTATAAAAGTGACGTACTTTGAAGAAATCTTGTAAACGACCCCTTAACCAGGAAACCACAAGTAGGCTCAACTTGATGTACACAGATCAAATGGGAACTCTCTAAATTTATAAGCTGAATTTATCAAATATTAGGGTACTTTAGGGATGGCTCACAACATTTTCCTGCACTTTTCGGGTAACTAAGGAATCTTTTTGACTTTTTCTGATCACAATCGATCATTTTCAGGTTCCGTTTGTAATGATTTTCTTTAGCTATTTGATAGATTGACGAAATTAATCTAATTATTTCAATACTAATTGATACGATCTATTTTGAGTCAGGGACAGGGTATCAGCCCATCATCTTTCTCCTTAGTTCCGTGAGTCATGTAACAAAAGTAGCTGTTTCTTGATGATGCTATTTGTTGAAGTGAAGTGTGCGACAATCTTTTCAACATATTTTGTGAAACAGTACTAACTATGATCCATGAGTATTTACTATAGAGTTTATTATATTTATTGACCGCGTAGCCAGGATGTCATTTATTACTGATACTGGGGGAATATTCGGTAAATACTGTGATATTATAAAATATGAGTACACATAACGTAGTATCTATATATACTCTGATACCAACAACCTAATTAATTTGAGATGTGTACTGAATCACAATTTTTAATAGTCGTTTGCTATAATAATGTATCGGATAAAATATAATTACTTATAATAAATAATGATAATACATTTTTAGATCTAGCAAACATCCCTCTGTAGAAGTTTTTCGCATTTTTTACAGCTCTTTTGTGCGGAGTGTTTTGGAGTACAATACAGTGATATGGTCGTCAAATTTAGTTGGCGACATTGAGTCCATTGAAGCAGTGTAGCGTAAATTTTTTAAACAGGCAGCAATGGTATCAGTACCTCAGATGCGATACTTAAGCTTACAAGAACCATTTCAAAAAATCTTGATCAAGGAAAGAAATGCATTGCTACCTTCCTAGACCTTGCAAAGGCCCTTGATACAATGCCTCATGACTCCCTTCTAGATGTCCTCGATATTTATGGGATCAGGGGTGTTGTGTCGGAGGTTTTTGCGAGTTACTTGACAGGTAGAATACAGATGACTAAAACCGGAAATGTGATCAGTGACTCGTCAGAAATAGAAATGGGTATAACACAGGGCACCATTATTGGGCCGTTACTATTTATATTATATATAAACTATTTGACAGATATTATTCTAGAAAATGCTGGTTTCAAACGCTGATGACACCGGCGTGGTTTTTGTGTCGGAAACACGGGAAGAGGTATATGAAATAACATCTCATGGATTAGAAAAAATAAAATGTTTGATTTATGTAAACTTAGTTTAAATATCGATAAAACTAATTACATAGC